TATTCAGTGATGATGATGATGATGATGATGATGATGGTGGTGGTGATGATTATGATGATGGTGGTGCTGATTATGATGATGAAGGCGGTGATGATTGCAGTGATGATGATGATGATGATGATGATGGTGGTGATGATTATGATGATGGTGGTGCTGATTATGATGATGAAGGTAGTGATGATTGCAGTGATGATGATGATGATGATGATGTTGATGGTGGTGATGATTATGATGATGGTGGTGCTGATTATGATGATGAAGGCGGTGATGATTGCAATGATGATGATGATGATGATGATTGCTGTGATGTTTGCGAGCATGATAATGATGATGTTGGTAAAGCTTTTTCGTTGATTTTATCATTGGTTCGGAAATGTTTTCACTGTTTTAATCTTTCTGGGTTTATATTAACATGAATATGAATTCACAGTAAAAATACTACTTAGTATTATATGATCTCAATACGAAGTTGCATAGTGATACAAGCTTGTAGAAATACATGCTTGAAAATAGTCTTTCAAGTATATTTCTATTATAATATTATAATTAATTGGAGTTAATTAATTAAAGGAAAGAGTATTTTAAGTATTTTTTTTTAAATAATACAATTAATTGGAGTTAATTGAAATTGAATGAATTTTAATCGAATGAATTTTTAAATTCACTCATCTCCAAAGGTTCTTCCATGTCGTCATCATTCTTTGGATCCTTCTGGGCTGCGTTCACCGAATCACAATGTAAGTTTTGATGATGATGACGATGGCGATGATGATGATGATGATGGTGATGATGGTAGTCATGATGATGATTGTAGCCATGCTTTTTTTTTGATTGATTCATTCATTCATCCATCTGCTTATCTATCAAAAACTTGTTCAACCGTTCATTCTAAGCCCTCAAAGTTCAAACATCTTGAGTTTTTTTACATTCCTTCATTCATTCATTAATTCATTCATTCATATTCTTTCATTCATTCATTCATCCATCCATCCATTCATTCATTCATTCATTCATTCATTTCGTTCATTCATTCACTAGATTGTTTGTACATTCATTCTTTCGGTCGATTCATTCCTTCATTCCTAAATTTATTTTTCCGATCAAATATTTATTTATTTATAGTGTACTATATCGTGTAGTTTATGCATTGGAAAGTATTGACATTGACAGACAGATGATATACAGGAAACCAGATGTATACACACCTACACACGTACACACACCCACACAATACTCACACAATATACATAGTCACACAACGCACCTACACACATACACACTCACAACAATCACACACACACACACACACAACATACCCACACAACGTACATACACACAACACGCACACACACCAATATTGACTAAAATACAAAAATAAAGTAAAATAACCATAAAATAATAATAAACAAATAAATAATTTATTAAAAATAATAAACAAAAATGAAAAATCTTTATAAAAAAACTTTCTAATTATGAAAAAACTTTTTTTTCCTTACTCCCCAGGGGTTGCAGTAGCTACGATATTGAGTATCGCCCTAATCATCGGCGTCATCATATTTCTGGCGGGCATAGTCTGCATTAGAAGGTTTGTTTTTTTTTTATTTTTTTTGTGGAGTTAGTTTTTTTAGAGTCTCATGTTTTATTGTTGATGCTGTTTCATTTGTTCGTTCATTCGTTCGTTCGTTCGTTCGTTTGTTGGTTGCTTCGTTCGTTGTTTGTTTTTTTTCATCTTATGTTTACTTCCAGGTGGCTTTCGTATTGAATGAAAGATTTTGTACATCATATAGATGTTGTTTTCTCATTGTTATTGTTGTTGTTTTTGTTATTTCTATTATCTTCCCCGTTCTGTTGGTTTTTGTGGCTATTGTGGCTGTTGTAGTAGTTGCTGTAGTCGTTGTAGTAGTAGTTGTAGTTCTTGTATCAGTAGTAGTTGTTGTTGTATTTGTTGTTGTGATGATTGTTGTGACCTTGTTTTTTTTTTGTTATTTATATTTTTCCTGTCTGTTAATGTCATTCTCTTCACTTTCGCGTGAGAAGTTTTATCTTCAGATCTTCGCCAGAGGCTTCGTATTTTTTTTTTTAAATTTTAATTCTTTCTACAACTTTTTCATTCATTCATAACTATCTTTGTTGTATAAAACGAAATTCATTCATACGTGTTTAGTTAATTTTGTAAATTTATTTTTTTGTAAAATATTTAAAATACTCTTTTGCTACTCTCGTTGCAAATAATTATTACGGGTCTATCTCTTCATACTACTACTTAGCGCTACCACAACAAAATTAACACTGCACGAAAAAAAAACAAACAACAACAATCCAGAAAAAAACTAACAACAGCAATAATACCAATAGTAACAACAACCACAACAAAAGCAAAAACTTCTTTAACAACCTCCACTACAATAAAAAAAAGAAAAATATGCAAACAACAAAAACAACACAAACAACAACAGTTATTATGATTTATAATTCCCATCATCAGCTGGCGAAAAAACATTATTTTCACACTTTCATTTTCTAGGAAGAGGCAGAACCATTTGCATGCCGGGGGGTGTTCAAGTCCCAGGTGTATTGCTGAATATCACGTTCCTAACTGTCCTATTGGTTGGCTATTTTTAGTTATTACTCTTTATTTGTATAACTATAAATGTATTATACGTATGGCGCGTGTGTTTGTTTGTTTGTTTATTTGTTTGTCTGTGTAGAATTGTTATTTTTCATATATTACTCGTTCATACATTCTCTCACTCATTCAATCATTCAAACATACAGACACACACACACGCACGCACACACAAACACGTACCGACATACAAACACGTACATACACATTCCCACATTCATACATACCAAACCAACAACTTAAAGGATATACTGAATATCGGGAAATGTATTATGATCACAAATTCCTGTAATTACGTGTGCTTCGAAAAAAAAATTTAAATGGAAAAATGCAGTCACGTGGTGAGCAATATTAATCACTCGATGGGAGTTAATGTAAATAAATTACGTCACTAAGACGGAATGACGAATGTTAAACGATTAATGTAAACAAAAATAGTCACGAATATGATGACTGCATGCTTACCTGGTGCAAACGATGTAAACAAAAACAATTTGAACAAAACATAACGTAAACAAAAACGATGCGAATAAAAATGATGCAAACAAGAACAATGTAATAAACAAAAATAATGTAAACAAAAACAACCACGTGACTATTATAAACACGATCACGTGATGTAAACATTACAGGTGGTCACGTGGACACCTCGAACCTACTGAACAACGCGGGAACGAGGCAGGGCTCAATGACGTCGAAATCACTCTCGCTCGATCTTGCTGGTACATCTTTTGGGAAGATTTTAAAAATTATCGAATTCAAATTATTATTTCAAAAATAAAATCAATAATAAATAATTAATAATTTTAATAGTTTTAACATCATTTTATTACCAATAGAACCGATTTTGTTTTGTTTTTTTCAGATAATCAAATTATATGAATTTTCGTTATGAAATTATGTGAATGCGTCATAATCAAATACGTCATAATTTTCTTACGTTATAAATAGTTGTTTTAAAAATAACACGATGACGTAATGACTTAGAAAAAATATGTCACAATTTCTAGATGATGATGACAATAATAATAACGAATTACATTGGGACAACGTTTTAATAACTGAAACATTACAAAAATGTTTCATAAATGTGATAACATTAACAACATTTTGAATGTGATAACACTAACAACATTTTGAATGTGATAACACTAACAACATTTTAAATGTGATAACACTGACGACATCATAATTTGTGATGACATTAACAAACAACATCAGGTGGTCCGTTGGACGGTTCAAACGCCGAGAATGACTATTTCAGAACCTGGCAACTGCAACGAAATGCCCTCAACATGAGACCCACTCCTGGTGCCTTGAACAGCCCATCTTTACAACAAGCACATCCCTATTTCCAGCAACAACGACAATTTCCACAACAACAACAACAGCAGTTGTACAATCCTCAACAAACATCATCCAATCTAATGCAGCAGTCGTCGTACTCCTACCAGCCACATCAAAGCTACAGCGACAACTTTTTCCAGCAGCAGCAACAGCAGCCACATCTACCACAACAACAACAACAACAACAACAACAGCACATTGTTGAGCACATCTACGAAAGCCCCAAATTCAACAGAAAGGAATACAACACTGACGTCTATGAGGGCAGAACAACAACACCAACTCCACCCCCACCACCGGTCAACAACAATAATAACAAAAATATAAACATCAGTAACAATGTTAATAATAATATTCCTCACCAAGGATCGAACCCGCTACCACCACCACCACCTCCACCACCATTGGCCAGCAGCGAATGCTTTCCATACAAATGTCCACCCATTAACAATGCTTCTGTTACATAAAGCATCTATATAAGGAATATATATATATATATATATATATATATATATATATATATATATATATATATATATATATATAGAGAGAGAGAGAGAGAGAGAGAGAGAGAGAGAGAGAGAGAGAGAAAGAGAGAGAAGCAGAGAAAGAGAGAGAGAGAGTGAGTGAGTGAGAGAAGGTTAGAGCCAATATTACGAATTTATATATAAAACTTATGGGTATTATAACAGATATTGTTAGCATTGTACAATTTGTTCATCCGTTTACGTTAATTCATTCTATCAATCAATCATTCATTTACTTGTTCATTCATTCATCTCTTTGTTCATCGGTTCATTCATTCATTTAATCATTCATTCATTCATTCATTTATTCTTTCTTTCCATCGTCCTTTCATAAATCAATTATTCTCACACCGAGATTTAAAAAACCGAATTTAATTATTAAATTGTAATAACTTCTGAGGGAAAATCGGTCGAATAATATTTTAATATAATTTTATTTTTGTTTCAATATAATTATAATTTAATTATAATATAATTTTATTATAATAATAATTATTATTTAATTGTAATAATTTTTGATTAATCAGTCATTTATAAAAACTATATATATGATCTTTTTAAAAATGCGTTTTTAATATTTTTTTCAAAACTGAAATGTGAAACTTAATTATTATAGACGATCATATGTCCAGTTACTGGTTAAAAACACTGTATTTCAAATTTATACAAAAAGAGATAATAGCTTATTCAATCAATCATAGTTTGTGTGTGTGTGTGTGTGTGTGTGTGTGTGTGTGTGTGTGTGTGTGTGTGTGTGTGGTGTGTGTGTGTGTGTGTGTGTTTGTGCACGTGTGTTTGTGTGTAATGTAAACTATGAAAATGTCATATATGACACACACAGTTAAGTAAGTGTTATATATATATAAATATGCATGCACATTCATGTGTAAAACGTAATATCGAATATGTATATATGAAAATAATTGAAATATCTTATAGATTGTTTTGTTTAGTTTCTATATATATATATATGTGTAAGTTGGTATTTTTACATTACACACACCACACACACACACACACACACACACATACATACTCAAAGGCATGCACATTTATACCTTCACACAGACATACATAATTGTATTTCGTTAGTTGTATATTAGTGATGTAACTGTAACAACATGATAATATAATTTCTAATAAAAAGTTCTTTCTTCTTGATTTTATTATTTGCGGTTAGTTTTCTCAATGTATCAATTAAGATACGTTCAGGTTTGTGTGTGTCTGCGTGTATCTGTATCCAAGGATAATAAAATGTCAAAACAAGGGATGTCACAAACGTTTCTTGGAAACATGTCGGCTCGTGTTGTTGAATTTCTTAAAATCTACAGGCAGTGAGTTCCAGATTGTTGCAGAATATTTTCTATTCCCGAATTGAATTTAAGAAGCACAAGGCCACAATCATCGGGAGTCTCAGTCAACTTCGATTTGCGACTTCTGAAACTGAAACTAATATATATCTATATGTGCTCATTGGTGTATATTAGCGTGTTATGTGGTTGTATGTTTTTTGTATATGTGTGTGTATAATATAAAGTGTGCATGTCAGTAGCTGCATGTTAGCGTGCATATGTGTTTGTATGCTTTTTTATATATGTGTGTGTATGTATTTGTGCATGTCAGTGTGTGTGTGTGTTTTTTTTTATGTGCGTTAATTATTATACAAAACATCTCGTAATGATTTTTTTCATTGTATTACATTACAACATTCACTCCCAATCCATTGTAATGTTCATTATTATCATTGTCGTTTAAACCATCTGTTTATGAATACACACACTCACGCACACATACATACACACACACACATACATACACACATACACATACATACACACACAGGCACGCATTCGTACAAGATTATATAAAGTGTATATATAGGTTGATATATTTATAAGTAAAATCGGAACACTGAATTGACATTTTTTTTATTTAGCAACAAACAAAATGACTTTTGAAGTTTCAAGATGAAATAATCGTAAGATGTATTGCTATTAATTATTATTTATTATTTATTTGATTATCTTTTTCACTTGTTATAATTATTATTTAAATAACTAATCTATACGATGTATTATTTTTTAGTTTTATTCACCTTCTATCAATTAATTTTACTTTTGAATTGATAATTGAGTTAATTACTTGATTACTTAAGTAATTAATTAAACAGCTAGTTAATTAATTTTCATTTTAACTGATTTTTTAAAAGAAAAATTATAAACAATAAAAATACAAATATTATTATTATTATTTTGTGGTCTACATACTTTTCGCTATTATACATTTGGAAATAAATGGTATTAAAAGCATTCTCTTTGACTAGAAATTAGAACAAAGATAAAAATTAACTCTAGATTAGACCCATCAATCAAAACATTACTAACATTAACAATAACAAAATCAACAAAAGCCCAACGACACCAAGATAACATTAACATATTCATAAATACAAAGGAAATTAACATCACACAAAACATCGTCTTTCTCTCTCTCTCTCCTCTCTCTCTCTCACTCTCTCTCACTCTCTCTTTCTGGTTTTTTCTGGTTCTCTCTGGTTCTTTCTCTGGTTCTCTCTCTAGTTCTCTCTGGTTCTCTCTCTTTCTCTGGTTCTCTCTCTCTCTTTCTCTTTCTCACGATCACCAACATTATCATCAGATTGGGTGACCTAGAAGGTAATTCAGAGTGAAATAAAAAGTAACATTATAGGAATTAATACTGTTATCATCGCTAATGCAACGCGTTGCGACAATAACTTATCCACTGCCGAGAATTAAGGAAAAATACTTAACCATTGCAAACAGTAAAACGGAGTCTGCCACTCAATAATAAACAATGATTCAGATTGTCAGGAAAAATATAAATGCATATACATACATTTTTTTATTTTTATTTTACAAATTTTATTAACCAAAAAAACATACATACATTTATATTTATATATATATATATATATATATATATATATACACATTAATTACCCCTTAATTACTACTCTGAAAGTTGTAATATAAAGAATTGAACAGTAGTTATATTAGTTATCAATGAGTAATTGATTAAACGTTAACCGAGCACAGGTCAATTATTATTTTTTAACAAATTATCATTTGCCAATTTGTTCGTGTTATATATACATGCATAACACACGCACAACACACTCACGCACACACACACAAACACACACACACACATATATATATATATATATATACATATATATATTTAATATAATATAATTACTATACCTCCAGTAATTTATTTACATTCTACCAACAACGCAGGACTAAAAACTCCACTTAATGTATACGTAGCATCTTTTTTCGTGTTATCACTTACACATACACACATACAAACACACGCGCGTACACACACACACACACACACACACATATATATATATATATATATGTGTGTGTGTATACACTATATATGCACACATATATACACTATTTCGAAACCTCCGCTATATAAAGCTGGCTTTCTTAACAATCCTTGCATTGAAAAAGCTTGATGCTAAAAGTTGATGAACGAATGATCAACCTACCCTGCATAGGTATACTATAAAAATATTGCTTTAGAAACACAATGTTACTGAATGTATACATTTTTTCATTACAATATAATTATTTATAGATTAATTATGTATGTATGTTGTATTCACGTATTTCATCTAGATTGTATATTCTTAATTGCTGAGTTGATTGAAATTCGTCTAATTCAAGCAGGATTGGTTGCATACATTTGTTAGCACTTTATTCATTTATATTTGTATCGTGTAATAAAATATACAATGTGTATATATTTATAATCGTAATAATTTTTATAGTATTGATTAGATCAGTTCAGTGGCAGATCCAGGCGAATGTCGCACTGCCCTCCCAGCAGAGCATGAAAGAGGAAAATTTTGAAGATTTCCTGTAAAAGATAGTGATAAAGTAACAAAGAGATCGCCAATCTGAGAATTCAAGAGTCAAAAACTCAAAATTCAAAAGCTTATTCCCTTATTGAAACACGGTAATAAGCCCAAAATGGTCATCAGATATGGAATTCTGAAGTTATCCCACACACCTCAAAATTCTGGATCCGCCACTGGACTAAAAGTAAAGAAGGATATAAAGTTATTTTATAATTGTTTTTAGTATTATTCATCTAGGTTAATATGTCTCTAGTTATCCAGTAGCTAGTTAGAGTTTCCATTTATTAGATTGAAAAAAAGGTTGGAAAGAAACATTCTTCAAGATAAAAAATAGCAGAAAAACAAAACAAAAATATGATTAAACAACCACTGGTTGAATCGTCATCAAATGAATCGGCGTCATCTTCATTAATCACGAGATCCCTGGCATCGTCATCAGCACCGCATTCATCGTCCTCATCATCATCCCAACCACCTCAGCCAACCCCCACTCTCCAAACATCGCCCTCCCCACCACCGAGGGGGTCTTCACCATCACCCCCTTCGAAAAAATCACCACCATCACCGGCGCCACCATCGCCATCACCATTGATGACGTCCAGACTGTCATCAGCGTCATCCTTCTTTTTTCCACCACACTCAACGACCCACAAAGCCGCTCTTCATATTCCTCACTCATCTTCGTCGCACTTATTACCGTCATTGCTGTCACCACCATTACACGGAGTTGTGACGTCAACAACGACGTCATCGTTCTATCGAAGTGACGTCATTAAGAGGGGTCGCCTGTTTGTCAAGAAGCCCTTTCCCGCCCATCTCTTCAGATTCAAGGTTTCGATTTGTTTTGATCATTTTTAACATTTTAGCATCATTTTAACGAAATTTGAGTTGTTGAGTGGAGTGTTCATTATTTGCTTTTTGAAGATGAGCTATTGCAAATTATTCACAAAACTTATTTACAAATGCATTACCCCTTAGAACATTTTTTGTGGATCTTGCGCGTTCGTTAGGACGACGACACACCACACACACACACTCATACACCACACACACACACACACACACACACACACACTACACACACACACACTACACACACACACAATATACATTGCTAATGACAAACAAAGATCACTTTGAATTCGAACTCGGTTACTGCAACATCAGAGCTAGTCGTCTTTCACGAATAGTCATTTATACTTACCGTTAGAAATTTACCTTGAGACGTTCATTTCGGTCCAATGTCATAATAATAATAATAATAATAATAATAATAATAATAATAGAAAGAATAATAATATTAATATTTATTATTATTGTTGTTATGTTGTTATTAATAAAAAACAGTCTTCATCTCATAAACAAAACCAAAAAAACAAAGATACTACTTTGTTTATTTTTCAAACAGTTGCTAGTTGATGGATGGATGGATGATTGATTGATTGATCGAATGAATGAATGGATGGATGAACGAGTGTATGGATGGGTTAATGGAGGAATGATTGACTGAGAGAACGATCGAAAAAATTAACCAATGAGTGAATGAACGAACGAACGAAAAATAAATAAACGAACGAATGAGTGATTGAATGAATGAACATCAAAAGAGCAAATGAATAATGAATAATCGAGTGAAGTAACGAAAAAACAAAGGAATGAGGGAATGAACAAACAAATGAATGAATGAGTGAATGAACAAACAAATGTATGAATGAATGAGTGAGTGGATGGATAAAAAGACGAATAAATGAATGAATGAATGAATGGATAGATAAATGAGAACACTTCAAAATACACAGTGCATGTGCATTTTTTAACCTACTCTTACACATACCCACACATACATACTTGAAAAAACTTTCAGAGCATTGAAAGATTTTTAAAAAAGAAAAAGAATTGGCTTACACGCACACACAAACACGCACGCACGCACGCACACTCAAACAAACATATCTTGATTTATTGGTTATAACTAATCTGCTGCTGATAAATTGAATTAAGTTTTTATCAATTTTTTAAACTTTTCAATCAAACTGAAGAATATTTATTTATAGATATATAAAATATATACGGAATCATTATTATTATTATTGTTAGGTTTGTTTCTGTATATTTGTTTGTGTGTATGTGTGTCTGTTGAAGATAATTGATAGAAGAATAGCAATCGCGAGAGGAATGTTTGCATCTTTGAAAGTAATATTGAAAAACGGTAATGTATCTACAAAAACAAAGTTAAAGATCGTAGAAGCGTGTGTGTTTTCTACATTGATGTATGCATGTGAGGCTTGGACGTTGAAGAAAAGAGACAAAGACAAACTGGAAGCATTCGAGATGCATTGTTATAGAAAGTTGCTGGGAATCAGTTGGAGACAAAAGATAAGAAACGATGCCATAAGAAAACAACTTGGAAGACAAAAAACTGTGTATGAAAGTGTCAAGGAAAGAAAGCTGGGTATCTTTGGGCACATCTGCAGAATGACAGACGACAGACTGATCAAAAAAGTACTGATGAGAAAGAGGGACTGGAAGAAAAAATTGGAAGACCTGTGAGGAAGTGGATGGATGATATCACGGAATGGACGGGGGTTGGAACATTGGGCTCAATGAAGATGGCGAGGGAAAGAAAAGGATTTTGGAGAGATAGAAGAATACCATCGGCCTCAACGGTCCCTCAAGGGATTACAGAGGATCATTGAATGAATGAATGAATGAATGTGTGTCTGTGTGTCTGTGTGTTCATCTTTGTTTCTGTATTGTTTCTAACCATACCAGACACATATAGAAATTTTTCTTTCAGCAGAATGTAGCATGTTATTAAGGCCGTGTTTTCATAAACAAAGCAATAAATTATACCTTCATGTTACTCATCACACCATCAGATATCATCATTCGATCTTATCATGAATGTATCATTGTTGATATCCTATCCAGTATCAGTATCATCATTTTTTCCTAGATAACATCCCTGAAATCATCATCAATATTAAACACATATTTAGTGTTTTTTTTCCTATAATTATTGCTTACGTCATCGTCATTCTAAATCATATTTTTATAATCAATGTTTTTTATAATTTTAGATAATTTTTCATTTATTACATTATTTTTCCTTATCTTATTCATCATCATCGTTGTCATCATCTACATATTTTATCATCATCATCATCACGAATAAATGAACGAACGAAGGAATGAATGAATGAATGAATGAATGGATAGATAGATAAATGAGAACACTTCAAAATACACAGTGCATACATTAATTAATTCATCTCTTTTATTTCATCATTTTATGATTTTGCGTTTCAGACATACTTTTTTTCATTTCATCATCATCTTTATCAACGTCATCACCATCAGCTGTGTTTTAATCATCGTCTTCATCATCATCTAAAAAATTATTATCACCATCATCAACTTTATTTTTCACTCATTTCAATCATAGCACGTATGCCTCGTATAGAATAAGTAACTGTCTGATGTATAATACTTGTGTTGAATATACGTATGATTTAATTAAGCCCAGGCACTTTGCTTTCTACATTGTGATTAAAAGATAACATAATTTGGTTGATGACGTTGTACATTTGTTTAACAAACTCATTTTTGGTAGAAATTAATTTTAATTTAATAAAATTTTTCTTGGCCGAACATTCTTTTATAATTTTTCAAAAAATGCTAAATTAAAGTTTTATCTGGGTCGGACTGCGAATCTTAAAAAATATATAAAAAATTGTTTTTTTTATTGCATCTAGGCAGGAAATTGAAAAATGTCTGAAAATGTGAAGGACCGTGTTTTGTTTTTGGCTATCATTTAAAAATTTCTTTAGCCTTTTTGGCTTTTTGGTTCATTTAGTAAAGCATTGCCGTGATTAATTTACGGTAAATATCAGATAAATACTCGAAACTAATCAAACTGAATAATTTAATTTGGTTTCATTTACTGCAGAGATGGCGGGAGAAGATGTTAATTCTTCGAGATATTTGGTCATCGGAAGGACTATCGAACGAGTCAACTTTAGAGATCTACCATTCCAAACTGACGGATGATCAAATTAAAGAAATTATGAGCTGCCCGTTTGCAAAACTCAGAAATAAACAGCTACAACAACAGCAGCAGCATCAACAACAACAAAAACATCAACAATATGAGGAACAACAACAACAACCAAATGTTCAAGACAGACTAAAGCCTGTCACAGAAACATTAAATAATACAAATAACATTAAAGGCATCAACATTGCCACTGATGACATTGATGACGAAAATTTAATTTTAAATGACAACAACAACAACGACGACGATGATGACGACCTTCAAGACAACAACAATGACACAATCATCGTAAGCAACAACAGCAAACAAAACCTAAGCACGGACGAAAAAGTTGAAGAGCCCAGTAACATCCAACCACCACTCACACCAAAGCCAATTGAACCTGTGAGAAAATGTCATTCCCTACCTCACAGCATTTCCACATTAAAAATTTTCAACCTTTTCTCTAACTGTCATGGTGGCGGAAATGATTTGAAAGAGGAGTCCTTGATTAATTTGTGTGAGATCGAAGATGTTGATGAGTACCAGATGTCTTCATCATTCCCTCGCTCCTTCATCGTGCACAGGTTGTCTGTCGCTGAAATGAATGCCGTCATTTCAGCTTAGATTCATATTATTCATATTATTGTTAATAATTGCGTTATGTTTACCTTTATTTCTGTTGTTGATAAAAATGTTTGTGATATTTTTGCAGTGTTTGCGTGGCTACTACTTTATGGTGCAATGTGCTCGTTTATTTTTTCCTAAACTTGAAAAATCTTTTTACATCCAATCCATGGTTCATATCCGGCAATAAAATTTTTATCTTTTCATAGAACTGACGGTCAGTCAATAATATTCGGAGCGCACACCGACCTGGAGATGAAGGAGTGGATGAACGCCATCAAACACCTGGCAGAGAAAGCTCGCAAGGACAAAGACGCCATCTCCATCAAAAACTCTGACAACCTCATCCGCTCTCGATCTCTCTTCAACATGCAAGACAACGCGTATTCGCAATTTGAGCCCAACTGTTTGTACAACTTTTAGTTTATTCACTATGTATCTCGTTATTGCTTAAATTTTTTAAGCTTTAAAAAATCGGCATCTAACTTGCTTAAATGTTTAAAAAATTGTTTAACATATTAACTTGCTAACCTGTTAATGTAAACAAGACTAGTTTATTTATTTATTTAGTTATTAGATTGTTAACACTTTCACACTTTTCATCACAAAAAAGCAGCTTCGCCCAACAAGATGTACAAAATAACGATGAAGAGTAAGGAAATCAAATCGGACAGTCCAATCGTGCCCAAACTGAACGGTGAGTTGGTGCTCTACCTGATGGGCATCGGATACCTCAAGATCCTATCATTATCCCCTTCAACGTCCGCTCTTAAGAGCAGCAGCTCAGTGAGTCTGAACCGGATCGCAGCAGTGCAACCAGAATATCGAGAGCTCTGTCACTGGAAGCTGGATAACATCAGGAAGCTGAGTTGTGAGGAGAGAGGCAAGTATAAAGATCTCATCACGTTAGAAACACTCAGGTTAAAAATATATTTCGAATACAAGTTTTTTGGTTTAAATATTTTTATTCTGGTTGGTGAGTTTATATGTAGCAACTTTTGGTAAGCAAATATTAGAAATAACTTTGCAAGATTTATAATTTTTGACAAATGAATTTTTGTTGAAAAGTTTCAAATCAACTTTTTAAGTAAAGATATTGTTGATTTAGATGTTATTAGCTATTACAGTTAAAACAGAACAATTTTTCTAGTTTATAAAACAACTTTTATTGACTAACTTCTCTAAGATAAACAAACCTGAAATATGCACCACAGTTAAGCTGAACGAATTGCTAAAAGTTCCTACAATATAAAGGGCATTATTATTCTCATACTTAACGCTTCTCAATCCGCCAGATCATGCCCAGAGTTTGGAGGCACCTTCAAGTTCTACGTAGACAACGCTATGGAACTGATAACGGATATACAAGCTGTCTCCTCCAACAAGAATAAGCTGAATGTCAAAAACGAAAATCACAATTTTATCGAAACGCGCCTGAATGAAATACTGGGTTACTATATTCAGTTTATTGCCTTTGAAGCTATACAAATCCATACTCTGTACATTATCTATAACTTTTAATTTTTCAAATAAAAAATCTAAAATCTCTGTGATTTAAATTTTGATGAAGCAATTAATTATCAATGGGAAAAACTGAAAAAATGTAGGCCAGAGAAACGCAAGAGTGAGAATGGAAACTCAAAAAGGACAAAATCCAGGTAATTTGTATTTTTAATATTAATTATCAAATTAATTAACAAACATTATAAGTCAACGAATTTTTTATCTACTTACAATTTTAAAAATTTGTTTTATCCGCAAAATCCCAATTCCCTCTTGCCTCATTCTTAAATTTTACTCTTTTTTGCAACACTGCGAGTTTGAGCAATCTATACATCACAGGATTTCACGTTTCTGTTCCTCCCAACGTAGCAACTTTTATTTCTTGAAGATAACTAAAGAGAGGCCTTTTTCAAATATGCAAACAAAACAGCACTTAAATAATTGCCATTCATTTATTGCCAGAATTGAATTGAAAGTTTGAAATTATTTTTTCAAAAAATGATTAAATAATATTAAATATATTATATTAAATAAACGAAATAGCAAGTGGTCGAAAATCTTCGAATTATGTTCCAAAACCTCCACCCCGCCGCTTCTGAACGATGAACCCTCTCATCTTGTGCTACACCTGGAGGCACCACTCAACTATCATCAGTGTTGTTTTGATTTTTGTTAATCTGTGTCAGAATTTGTTCATAACTCTTCATTTTTATGCTCCGCTTTGTAGGATTTTCAATTGAAATTCTAATAAGATAATAACTAACTTTGTTTAGTGAGTTTAACACGTTGTCATCGGTTTTTAATGTTCTCACTCTCAATATATGTCATGTCATCTTTTTAATATTTAATAAATGTAAATGTGTGGATTTCTTTTTTGTTTTGAAATCGAAAATTAAACGAACCATCATTAAAAATCTTTTGCATTTTTATTTTGAATAAATTTTTATAAAAATTATTGCAAAATGAATTATTATTAACAGGACCTAAAAATTTGTAGTCATACAATTAATTAAGTAGTCAGCACAACAGATTGTTTGTGATTCGTATAGATGCAAATATAAATGCGTCAAAATTTATCGAAAAAAAGCGAAATTAAATTAGAAAAAAAAATAATAATTAAAGATATACAACATCCAAAATTGTGTAGACTGTGATAAATACAAAAATATTAAATTAAAATTTTATTGAATGATCCTAGAAAATGTCTAAAAATAAAAATATGTTTGAAAAATCGTTATTTTTCAATTTTGAGGTGCAATAAATTCTAAACGAACAATCTTCATGAAGACGTTGTCATTGTTTTTGAAAGAATTTATACTCATCTCACACCTCCCGCGAAAATTCTGTGCAGCTTTCAGAAGATAACTTTCGTCAAAGGAGCAGCCGGCGATATTGAAATAGACAGTTTGCAGACATATCGAGTTTTTAATGAAATGCAAGATGGACTCTTTCGAAACCTCCTTTAAATCGTAGTCAATTGAGATATGTTGGAGACTAGATAGGCGAGTAGATATAACTTTGAAGAATTCGTTGTTCAATTTAGAGTTGTGAGATTCGTTGCCGATAGAATGCGAGGAGACCTCCAAAACTTTTAAATATTCGCAAGCCGACACAGCCTCTATAAGATCTTCGCAGTCCACAATATTTTTAAAACTGTTTTTCTCTTTTTCTACAAACGGGATGCCACAATGACGGTAATCTAAGGTTGTCGTTTGAGAGCAGAGTGCGGTGAGCAAGCGAAGAAACTGTCCAGACACGCCCTGCACTGTCAGATGTTCGACTGAACTCAACTTGAACCTTCCACCGTTCTCACCAGTCAACATCGTGTAGGCTTCCTTCGCTACTGGAGCGACATCGGAGTAAAATAATTTATTCTTGCACATCAACGTCAGTTTTTTTAGGTTGGTTAGTTTGACGATGACATTGATAACGATTTCAGGAGTGACAAATTGACAGTCGACAAATGCTAGATCGGACAGACATTTTAGTTGTGTAAGAAAATCAACAAACGGAGAAAAGCTACCGAATGAACAATCGAATAATGAAAGACTTTTGAGATTTAAATAAATATCACAGCGTTCGGCAATCGTTTTAAAAATAATATCACACCTCTGAAGTCTTAAAACGCTCAACTGCGTGGCTAGCAAGCCTATATTAATAAATACACTTTCGTCCAAAACACGACATTCGTTATCCTGGCTGTTGCTCTGCGGTGCCAAGGCATTGAACGCCGTTCTTTTTTGCTTGCCATCTACGGACAGTTCCATCAATTGAAAACATTTTTTGCTGAGGTAATCTAAACCCAGCTTTGAAATTTTATCCAATCTGATCAAACTCAGTTTTTTAAGTTGAGGACAGTTATCCGCAATAATTTTAAGCGACTTGTCCGTAATATCGGACCCGATGTCGTCTAGAACTATTTTGACGAGTTTATTAAATTTATTCATCGCAAAAAATTTGACGAACCCCTCATCACTCAAGGAGCACCGTTTCAACTCGATTGAGTTCAGACCCGGCATCAAGACTGACAACCTTTCGAAAGACTTGTCGTCCAAATAATCGAAACCACCGTGGCATATGTAACTTTCAATTTTTTGACAACTGATCGCCACCTTGGCCAAATCCTGCTCCCATTTTTGACGTTTCTGTTTTTCTGCCGTCGTTTTTGAAGCGTGGTTGATCCTGCCGTAATTTTCCACCGGATTATCTTGAAGAACTTTTATATTTGATTTCTTAAAAAAGGCATAACATTTCAATTGGTCGCATGTGTTGTTTGGGTTGCTTCGCAAATTAGAAATTTGTTCCAGCGAAGGAGTCATAAAAGCGAGGCACTCGTATACTAAGTCTGGAAACGGTGAACTTTCTGGAACGTATAAATGTTTCAAATTATCAAAAACAATTTCTTCACGAGATAGTTGAATGAATGATTCGTGAGTTAGATTTTCGCACTGAGAGCAATCCAGAACAATAACATCCTTGTGAACCTTGCGCATGTAACTCACGAACTCATCATCCTTCATGTGCCAGGGCAGTCTGATGTTTTCAGATTCCATGCTCTTGTTTGTTTTTGTTTGTTATTAAAAATTAAAAAAAGTTACACCTTTTCTTCTTGGAAGTTTTTTTTGAAGAAAATCGTCACTAGTAGAAATAAACAAATTTATAATCATTATTCTATACAAAATATATTATTCAAAACTTTAAACTCTTGAGTCTAAATAAATTAATCAAAACAATTAAATAACTCACAAACCTATTTGTAAAAGAAGAAAAAACAAAACGAAAGAAGATTAACGTGCGAACGTAAGCCCTGTGCTATCTAGCTGTGAGTTTGTTGTACTACCACTAATATATAGGCAGTGCTTGCTATATGAAGATTATTTATATAACTTGAGAGATGGAAGATGATGTATGAAAATTCAGCAGCAAGGCATCTACGAAGCTACGTAATTATTTCTTACTTTTAATTTCACTTCATTTATATTTGTATATTAAGTTACTTTAGTACAATTTAACGATAACAACTTTAATGAAAATTTTTAAGTTTTAAGTTGACTGAAAAAAGCGTAAAGAATACTGTTACTAGCTTATCAAATAATCTTAAAACTTGACCTCAAGCACATGGAAAGAATTTTTGGTAATAAAATAATCTCCTATCTTTAATATTTTATGAAATTTTGACATTTTTCATCAACTTTTTTTTAAACGGTGAAACTAAAAGTTATAAACACTGTTTTATTAATATTTATCAACCAATAGATTCGTTACTCATGATAAAATTTAATAATTTCATGTCATCTGCTAGAGGTGGCACATCAACGCTGGCTTCTTAGCCGATGCTGAAAATTAAAAAAAAAGATTCGGTGATTTCATAACAAGTTCACCCACAAAAAAAACATTATATAAACTTGTTATATTCAAAAATGAAACTAAATGTGAACACGCGTGAATCGACTTGTCACACGCGTTGCATGGGATAGGCATTGAATGCTGGCACTCTAACCATTATCAAATATTGATACCTCTGGAAATTACCATTAAAATTGAAATAACATACCGTTCAAAGTCCACGTGTCAATCAATGATTCATCATCAGTGTGAAGTTTTTCGAATACATGGTCGGATTTTGTTTTCAAATATTGACAGATAAGGGGCCAGATAATTGACATTGGAACGTGTTGGTTGATGTGTGGATAGCACACTCCGGATGTATCGTTTCTGCAGTGTCAATCATTTTTTAGCTAATTAATTCGCTATTGTTTTAATTATTGAATTAATTAAAAAATAATGAAAAGGATCAAAGCTAAGATTTTTTTAAAGTTACTTAATGGCTAGTACAATTGGCTGTCGGCGCGGTGGTGTAACGATTACAGTCAGTACTTGACACTGCTGTTGCATTGACTAGGTTCGAATGCGAATAGAACCTCGCCAGCGTGTGATCAGTTGATTCATGCATAATCACGAATAAGCGCGATACGTTCGTTGCTAAAACCCTTGAGACATACAGAAGAAAGGATTGTAAAAAAAAATGAGTGCCACTGACAAAATTATGTTTGGTAAAATAATTCTTCAGCCAACGTGCCTGATGTTAGAAACGATGATTCCTACAATTCTACCTTCGCCATCAAGTAAGGGACCACCACTCATCCCAGCATGCACACAACTGGAAGACTGGCATTATGGGAGTGTGTAGGTAGCAGGGCATTGCAATAGATGAAAATTAAAAATAATTTGTTACCTGGATCAAAACTGGTTCATGACGATGGTAGGATATTTTTGAAATGATGCCACAAGTTGCAGAAGGTTTCAAAGAGTGCCACTTATCAAACAACATATGACCGCATGCGTAAACGCTCATACCTGGTAGGGAGAATTTAATATAATGTTTCATATATAGTCATTTTATTCAAATATTTGGAATAATAATTATAATAATATATAATTAAATAATTACATTTCGGTTAATGCAATGGTGTAATGGTTAAGGACTACTGTTGCAATGACTGGTTTCGAATGCTAACATATCCCGCCCGTCCGTAGTCCACCCGTGCAACGGGCGATGCGTGCCTATTTTGTTGTTGCTTGTTGTTGATACCTCTGAGAGTTTTTTTAAATAAAATAATAATTAATTATAATTTAACGAAATAATATAATAAAAAAGATAAAAAAATAATAATTAATTATAATTTAACGAAATAATATAATAAAAAAGATGGAACCTAATGAAAATTCTAAACAGACATCAACTTCTTTCAATGTTGTCATACCACACTCGTACAACTCACAGGGACTCGTAACTGCAAGTTTCAAAACAGCTACATCGTAAAAGGGTTGATTTTTGCTGCTGCTGCTGCTGTTGTGTATTTGGGTGTTTTGGTTGTTGTTGAGTATTTGGGTATTTTTGCTGCTACAGTTGTTGAGAATTTTAGCAGAGTATCTTTTCTTCAAGTGAGGTATTCGTACTGCTGCTACATGTGCATGAAATTATTAAGTTAGTAATTAAACATATTTTACGAACAGTAATAACTTTACGTACAGTTACAACAAAAATGGTTTTAAAAAGCTTTAATTAAAACATAAATACGTCTTGCAAAATAACTCTTGGTAAGAAAATCGATGAAACATTCTTATTCATTTAACTTCCAATAATTTCAAAACTGAAATCAGACAGATAAAAAAATATCATAAATTAAATCCAACCAAAGGCATCCACACTCACCATCACAATTCAAATTTTCATTCTCGGTATCACCATTCCAACTTGCAAGGACGTGGTAGCACGTGACAACTAAGCCGCCTTCCACATCAACAACAATTCCCGAACCCCATGAGTTTCTACATTCAACGTAGACCACATTTCTAAAGGCGGGCCTGGATGAGATGCTGATGTTTGGTGAGGGTAGGCTTGGCGAGATGTTGATATTTGATGAAGAGTTTGGTGAGATAGTGATATGCTGTAAGGGATTGTGGACTATAATGGAATTTTCTAAGCTAGACACGGATGGGAATAGCTTAGGAGTGAGTTCTGTATTCAGACTTGCTGCTTTAAATTTTGAAATTATGATAAGTATAATTGTTATCAAAAAATTTTGTTATCCTTGATTTACTTTTAAAAAACGTTATGCTCTATGCGTGATTAGCAGAAATTTACAATATTAATTTAGATTTTGATCGTAAATGACAACATACCTTGAAAATTAAGCGTAGTTTTTACGAGCAAAGTCGATGAGTAAATATTTTTTAAAAATGAAAAATTGACCGAAATGACAAAAATTAAATTCAAATTAATCAGTAAAAAAATGTCAAAAAAAGTTCAATTAACCAGCGAGAAAAGATGTCAGAGTTCTGAGTACATGTTGAATGTTGCAACAAACAGCTAGTCCTACATACTCCTTACCCCTCCAAAGTATCGGAATTAACACCAGGCCTATCAAATCACCACTTTTTTGAATGAAATTTATTATTTTTCATTTAACAAACCAGTATTCATTAGTTTCTTTTAATGCATTATTTTGAAAGCTTTTTAACATAGCAGCAATAGTTAAAATGATACTTAGTTGCAACATCCTAAATTAGCTGTAGCATTATTAATATTATGCGTGTAGTAAACAAAATAAACATATGCAAGCATCTAACACATGATCATAGCAGTCAGGTCTGTATCTGTACACAGTCCCGCCCTGACATCCGGGTGCACATCTGCCGTCAATCAGGAAAACCTCACCATCGTCACCAACCACATTCGAAATTATTCCACTACTCATCGAATTCATGAACATTTTGGGGCTTAAATTGGCGAATGGAGTACTAACAACTAAAATTGGTTCCCCTGTTCTTAATCTGTCGTCGGTAACCGAAGCTAGAATGTTGAAGTTTGTTCTGTATGAATATCTTGAATTTTCTATTTTCAATAACAGAAAATTTATTTCTAACGATGTTATTGAAGAGTTAATTTTATGATTTGGACTTGGAAAATAATTCCATTGAGAAGATGAAAACAATGTTTTGATATGTTTTCTAACATTATTTGACGAGTTGAATGTTAGAATGTACATTGCAAAAACTTCATGGATTGTCTTTGAGCTGCCATGTTCATCAATTTCTTCTAAAATAACACGAAATTCATGATTTGCATCATTGATGATGGGCGAATCTCCCTCATCTTTCAGCACAGGCGTGATGATGAAACCACCATTCAATAAAATACCGCTATTGTTAATTTTCAACGAATTATCTTTCGAATTTGATGTTATCAAACATGCTGGACTAACATATATTTCTGACTTTTGCATCATTTTTATCCGTTGTTTGCAAATCTAACTACGTGTTACTCAATTGAATTAACCAATCTATAATAATTAAACACAATAATTTTATTTATATTCGATATATAGATGAATATCTATGAATAAGTTACATGCTGTGTTACATGTGTCTATCAATTATTGTGTGTTATATGATCAAAATAATACTAATTAGTAAATTTAATTAATTAATTAGCGTTTTTTTGCTTAAACTTAAAACATTCATTAAGTTATAAACTTAAAACATTCATTAAGTTATAAACAGTGAACATTAGGTAATCGCACAATACAGTACGATTACAAGTATTACAATCAAGTAGAATGAACATACATGTGCATATAATTTATATATATGTATGTATAATATGTAATAAATACACAAATTAAAACTACACATACATATACAACACTTAAGATTTTTATAAAGTGTTGTTGACATTGATTGATAAAATTCAATGCTTAAAATGCCAACAGCAAAGATGATTTTACTTAATTAGTTACGTTTTAAAATTTTCAAATTCTTTGGCTGTTGTTTATATTTAAATTATTAATTATCGTTCAACGCTGTCCGGCCTGTTTAATTTGACTAAAATTTAAAATGATTTGACCATCAATTTATTCAATTAACTAAATTTAAATATTTATTTCTGTATCGATTAACGTTAAAAAGTTAAATAATTAAATTTTAGAGTAAAGAGCTAATTTTTTTATTTTAAACTTATTGATAGAATAGAGATAGTTGTTTAAAAATTTTTTTTTAATTTTATTTTACAGTTTTTCTAAATTTTATTAAAATAATAAAAATTAAAAGAAGGACTTAAAAAAAGACTTAGGCTTACTTGGCGCTTGGGTTTTGAAATTTTAGACTTTAGTGTGCTTTTTTCCCCTTTGATAACTTTCCAAAAAAACTTATGAAAAGCTTAAAAGTGTACGTCAATGAAAATAAAGGAACCCTTAAAAAATTTTAAAGTTAACGAATTTATTTCAAAATAAAAACAAAGTCCTAAACAAAATAAATTATTCATGGAATCCCAGTCAGAAGATGTGCAGAAATCAAACTGGGAAAATAAACTTAAAGAAATTATCAGAGGATTCAGTTTGGTTCGTTCTGCTGTTGTGATTGGTTTAGTTAGAAAATGGTTTGTTGTTGGTTGAAATTGTAGATTGTACACAGACACACATGGACATGTAAACATGCATACGCATATATAATTATATAATACATAAACCACACATACAGTAATATACAATTATAATGTATTATATTTGTCTGTTTTGTTTATTTATTCATATTACATATAATTTTATAGAAAAAAGTTTTAATTAGACTATTAACAAGCCAATTAATTTACTTAAGATTAATCAAAGAAGTTACAAATTTAGAATTATATTTATTTAAAATAATTTAGCCATTTTGTTAAACTATTATATTCTTTTATTAGGATGTAGGATCGGTGATGAACGTCTTCAAAGGTTTTGCCAATGAAAATATAGAGAGTGATGACAAGCGGGAAGTTGAACTTGTGAATAACTTGATAAACTTCTGGAAAATATGCCCCCAGGTTGACTCAAACTCACTATCTTTATCATATCATCAAGATTATCTTATTAATATTCATATCCATAAATTATGTTAACTCCCAATGATGTCATCCATAAATTATGTTAATTTCTAGTGATAATGTAAAGAAATTCATACAATAAAAATTAACTGACCAGATAATTTTTACTAATTCCCATCCAAACATCTTTAAATTGTGGAGTATTTCAACATCCAAAAAACAAAGGCACACATATTGGCTACATCCCATTCCTACTGCTGCATCCCATTCCTACTATATCCCATTCCCACTACATCCCATTCCTAATCCATCACTAACCACCTAACTAACCTGCCAACGACAGAAGTACCATGACCATTGTATGAGGCACTTCATTGACTGCTTGCATGCTGAAACGAGCCCCACATTCAAACAAAAAATGATCGACTCGTTGAAACAGACTGTAGATGGAAACCTTACTTCCGCTAAGTGTGTTTCATTTTCTTCTTTGTTTTTTACAAATTTGTTAGTTTTTGTTTTGCACATATGCTTATTTAAGTGTGTGTGTGTGTGTGTGTGTGTGTGTGTGTGTGTGTGTGTGTGTGTGTGTGTGTGTATGCGTGTATGCGTGCGTGTGTTTGTGTGTGTGCGTGTTTTGTGTGTTTGTTTTGTATAAGCAAATGAAAAAAAATAAATTGATTACAAAATACAATCCATAAAAATTGTAATACAATATACAAACATAAAATATAAAAAACACAGACCATAATGTTTACAATATTCTATAAATTTTGCCAAATTTTTACGCCAAACATTCGGTAGAATTTATAGAATATTGTAAATATATATATGTATGTATGTATAATTGTATACAGACAAACATACAGACAACCAAATTCAAATTACAAATCCAAATCTAATTTCTTCCTATCTAAAAAAAATATGTATTGGCCAAAATGTTAGATTGGTGTGTGATGCGCTTCTGCTGAACAGTAAGATGGTTCACAGCAATGCAGCTGTTTGGAAGAAAACGCTGACACTGCTGAAACACTTCGTCATCGGTGCTGATTACAAGGTTTTTGGGAGTATTTTTTTTTGTATTATGGACTGGTATAATGGCTAAGGCGTGTGGTTCTGCTGTGGCAGTGACTGGATTCGAATGCAAAGAGATCCATGCCTGTTATACGCTGTGTGTCTTTTGTATGTTATTGATAAATTTGAAAGATAATTGATACAGATAATCAGTTGTTTAACTAAACATTTGAATAATTAAATACGCATACACACATACATTCGCAAGTTAACTTAAACAGTTACAAATGTGTATAGAATCACACGTACATACCTACACACACACACACACACACACACACACACACACACACACACACACATACATACAGACAGACACATAAACAAACGCATACAAATGTTACAGGGTGTTCGTGATCTCCTACATCAACTGCTTGAAAAAATTTGCAAAATACCATCTACCGTTAATGTTGATTGTTGGGATGTTGTACAGGCAGCGTATGATGTGCGTGTTTTGTATGTTGTAAATCTGTACGTTTGTATAATGATGTTTGTATGTTATATTTAGCAGTATGTATTTTGTATTTTCATGACTGTATGTTTAATTTTGTATGTTTGTAGTTTGATGTTTGTACGTCGTATTTTGTGTATATACAAATGTTGAAGATGGCGATGATAATGATAACAGATAACAGAAAGGGATGGATGATAATTCTGCTGCTGCTGATGATGATGACGATGATGATGATTACGATGTTGATGATGATGATAACAACGATGATGATGATGATGATGATAAATAACGCCTTAATGCAGATGATAAGTTACCTGATAGATAGGAATGAGTGCTTGCTACCGGCCTACTTGGCTGTCAACGAAATTGTGAAGCTGTATGCCGACGATAAGCCCCATCCCCACTGGGTTTGTGATGATGGTGATGGTGATGTTTTGATGATGAAAAAGATAGTATAGTAATGATAATTTGTAGAATTATTGTGAAATAAAATTGTAGAGGATCACTAGGTTATTGTCGGAACATGTTCAGTCGTTCAGACCAATCGCTAGAATGGTTACCATTAGTGGTTGGTTTTTGTGGCTAGTTGGTTGGTTGATTGATTTGTTGGTTGGTTTGCTGGTTGGATGGTTGGTTGGTTTGTTGGATGGTTGATTTGTTGGTTGGTTGGATGGTTGGTTGGTAGGCTGACTGGCTAGTTTATTGATAGCTGGCTGGTTGGTTGGTTGATTTTTTGATTGATCGATTGATTGATATATTGATTTATTCATTCATTGGTACATACACACACGCGTACGAACACACACACGCGCGCGCGCACACACACACACAGGACGATCGGATCTTCTCCCAATAGTTGGACATTCACACAGCAACTCAAACTCATGGAGGCTGATCCCTAACGTACTAAAGTTCCTACTCAGTGGGCCTCTACCCTACGATGACGTCAGTTGTTGTTTGTGCTGTTGTTGCTGCTGCTGCTTCTGCTCATGCTGCTGTTGTTGTAATTGTGGTTGTTGTTGATGTTGTTGTGGCTGTAGTTGTTTTTGTTGTTATTGTATTTTTTGTTGTGGTTGTTGTTGATGCTGTTGTTGTGGCTCTAGTTGTTTTTGTTGTTGTTGTTGTTCATCTTAGATTATGATAATAAAAAACCCGATGGCGTGAGTTAGGATGATGAATTATTGAAAATTGGATGTAGGAGATTAAAGAGAGCCAAGGCAAACTACTGAGGTACGTGCTGGAGCAGCCCTATTCTAGGGAGATGGTCTGCACCATGCTGGCTATCAACAAGCTGGTAAGTTGCTGTTATTAACCTAGTCACGTGATTGTTATCGTCGTCACGTGATTGTTGTCGTCGTCACGTGATTATCACTATCATATCATGTGATTATTGTCATTATCGTCGTGTATGTCATCATGTTGATCGCTTTTTAGTGTTATTGTATACATTATCATGACCAAATATGGATACTTTTTCTACTCATCGTCGAATGTATCGTTTTCATCATCACATCATCGCCATCTAGGCAGCAGCATCTTCGCCATCATTAACTTCATTCATCATCAACCTCGTTATAATGATCCGAACCAACATACACAGTACAAACTCAGGTGCGTGTCCCTGGAAGACCAATTTGTGGAGGTCGTCATCAACGTCATGGAAAGTTACGATGACGACGATGATGACGACGATGATGATGATGAAAACGAAAACGATGGTTCTCCAGGGAAATCTAAAAACCCCAAGAGATCTAAATATCTGTGGGATCACTTATCATGCCAATTGATCTTTTTTGCTCTGTTTCAATTCACTAATTTCTCGTGTATGGTTGAGTCAATTTGCAAAGAGGTAGGTCGCAATTATGGTTATCATATTATCATATAATGATAGTATCATATTTTTTGGAGTTATGTCTTTAGTATTTCGTAGATAGAGAAACACTGAATGTTTGTAGACGCACGTGAATCAGCGCGTCATTTACGTTGCATGTGTGATGGGCGGAGATCATTTGCATTCGAACCTAGACACTGCGACAACAGAGCCAAACGCCTTAGCCGTTACACTAATCGCAAGCCATATTTCAGCGATATCCTGATGTTATATTTACTTTTACAACATGTACGACAGTTGAAGGCGAGAAATCTGAGGAAAGGTCGCGACAGTTTAATGTGGATGCTGCTGCAGTTCATATCGGGAAGCATCCAGAAGAATAACGTACGTTCTGTCGTTCCGTCGTTCTGTCGTTCCGTTGTTGTTTTTTATTTACATCCGTTTTAACTTTACGTCATCAGTAACGTCATTGCTGTCGTCAACCGTCACAATCCATGTTTTTTTTATACCACAATCTTCGTCTTTTTTATACCACAATCATCATCGCTGCTAATCTATCACTCTATCATCACAATCAATGAAATCACAAAAGTTGGAAGAATTCTTGCCAGTGATCAAACTCTACGAGTTCCTCTATCCGGAGACTCAGCCCTTGCCCCTACCGTGCCCTACAAAGAAATCGTGCACCCGCAAGATGGCAGCCACGTGCATTTGGGTGCATCTGATGAAGAAGGCGCAAGCCCCTGCTGAGAAGGATAGTCGGACTTTCAGATTCTCCCTACCGCAAGAACTGTCTGGGCATATTGAGTTAGTGTTTTGTGTGTTTGTGTGTGTGTGTGTGTGTTTGTTTGTTTGGTTGTGTGTGTTTGTTTGTTTGTGTGTGTGTGTGTTTGTTTGTGTGTGTTTGTTTGTTTGTGTTTGTGTGTGTGTGTGTGTGTTTGTTTGTTTGTGTGTGTGTGTGTGTGTTTGTTTGTGTGTTTGTTTGTTTGTGTGTGTGTGAGAGGGTGAGTATGAGTGAATTATCTTCATCATCATTAATTCATTCGTCATGTTCTTCATCAGGTTCCTACAGCAGCTGACGAGAGATCAGTCACTGAATTTAAACGATTACAAGATCGTTCTCCTTAGCAATGCATGTTAGTTGCGTTATTGCCTTTTAACGATCTAGTTCATTTAGTAAAAGAATATGCTCATCTTCTTCATCATTTTACCATCATCATCCATCATCCTCATCAACAGACAGCACCAACAGTGAGCTCTTCAGCCAGCCGATGACCAACCTGATAGAGAGCATCTATGGGACGACCATGAAGAGCCCCCAGCTGTCCGGAGATGTCCAGGTGTACGTACCTACGCACCCCCTGAGTGTCAAGATGCTTGATTCACTTACTGTTCACGCTAAGATGAGGTGGCCAGTCACTCATTATTATTACTTATCATGATATATATCAATTATTAATTCGTCATTGTTACCTATCATGATATATATCAATTATTAATTCGTCATTGTTACTTATCATGATATATACATACAATTATTAATTCGTCATTGTTACCTATCATGATATATTTAATTTACTTATTTAAATTTATATTTCTGTCTATGTATCATGGTTCTGTCTATGTATCATGGTTCTTATCTATATCTTTCTAATTATTGTTATCACCGTCATCATCATCATCTTTTCCATCATCTTCAACATACTTGGTGTCATGCACTTTTCTTACCGCCGCCATCATCATTAGTCTAGTCTCATTGTCACCATCCTCTTTTTCACCGTCATCACCATCGTCAACGTCATACTTACGCACACACACACGCGCGCGCGCGCGCACACACACACAGCTTGATTCACAGCATAGTAACGAGGTTATTGAAGTTGACCCAGAGCAAGCAGGCGAACATTGCACTCAGTCCATCCCTTGTCGAGACGTACAGCCGTCTGCTCGTCTACACCGAGATTGAATCCTTAGGGATTAAAGGATTTATTGGTGAGTTGGTGATGTTATTATTATGACGATGACGTATATTATCACCACATTCATCTTTGCTATGAGTCCCTTATTTTCATCATCATTGTTATTATCGGTGGTTTTGTAATTCTCTGCTATGTGCGGTTTTAACGCTATCTCACTGCCAACTTATCATAATCATTTTTGTCATCATCATCATCATCGCCACCATCATCACCATCATCACCATCTTCACCAGGGCAAGTTTTGATGAGCGTGTTTAAGGACCGTTGTTGGAGTATCCTGCATACACTCCTCGAGTTGAGTACCTACCGACTGCATCACATCCAATTCCACTACAGGTTTGCATGAGGAAGAGGATGAAGATGACGGTTGTGCTGATGTGTGACTAAGATGAGATGATGATGGAGTGAGGATGAGATGATGATGGAGTGAGGATGAGATGATGGTGGAAAGAGGATGAGATGATGATGGAGTGAGAATGAAATGATGATGGAGTGAGGGTGAGATGATGATGGAATGAGGATGATAAAAATAATGAGAGTACAGGATTTACAATCTAAGAAGATGATGGTGGAGTGAGGATGAGATGATGATGGAGTGAAGATGAGATGACGATGAAGTGATGAAATGTTGATGGAGTGATGATGACGTAATGATGAGGTGACGATGAAATGATGATGAGATGATGATGACGATGGAATAATGAGGATAAAGTTAACGAGAGTACGGGATTTACAATCTAATAAATTCTTCAACAATTGTGATCACATCTTGCACGTAGAAACACATTGTTACATACTAGCATTAATACCCCATAGTGACAATAACAATTTTCCATAATGGTAATGGTAACTACACAATGATGGTGATAAATGTTTTTTTTTCCTAATGACGATGATAGTTTAATGATCCTACATGCATATAGAATGCAGCTCATATCCCAAGTACACTCCATAGCACAGATGCCACAAGTTAACTACCAGCTTCATTTATGGTTTGAAGAATTTTTGGCTTTTTTTCGTTCATTTTTGGTTTCAATTTTTACGGGAAAAGGCTACTACTACTACTACTACTACTACTACTACTACTACTACTACTACTACTACTACTACTACTACTACTACTACTACTACTACTGTTGCTACCACTGTGCACATTTTCTGCAGTTACCCTTACTACTGCCAATTACTATCACTGCTAATACAACTGTTATTAATATTATCTC